ATTACAAGGTGAACTCCCAACTCTTGAGCCACGATCGCCCCCTGTTTATCCGAATGTAACATTTTCAGTGAGAGAAACGTCTCTTGGAGATTGAAGAAGTCACTTGTCACGTTTCTTCCACTGAAAACGTTACGTCGAGATGAACAGAATCAACCTTTTGGGATATTGTTATGAAAGTAAAGATTTATTTTGTTTTTCATCATCTAATCTTTAGATTTTCTAATAAGTTTTATTGAGTCAACAGAAGCTGACAAGAACTAGCAACACAAGGCAATAGCATTTGTTTGCACTGATTGCACCTAACAGAACCTAAAATATGTTAGCAGGAGTTTTAAGTTTAAGTTTCAAATCATTTTCTAATGAAAATGTGGAAGTTTACTGTCCATTCTGACCAAAATGTGAAGAGTTTCCTCACAGAAACGCCAAATCATCTTTCTGTTGAATTCTCAATCACAGCAAAATTGTATCTGAAATCTTATCTGATCTTAATTTTGCCCTTTGGCTCGAAACTGCTAACCTGAACCAAGTTTATAATGTTAATCACGGGCAGACTTACTGAGCCTTTCTGCAATTTCTCACAGCTGGGATGAGTCTCTGTTTGCCCTCCAGTGTGGTGTTATATTCACCCAGGTTCAGTTCATTCACAACCTCTTCTGACATTTGGAGAATGTAGGCCAGAGCTGAGCAGTGGATAACAGAAAGTCTCTGTGATCTCTTTCCTGACTTCTGGAACTCTTGGACCTCCTGATGTACTGAGAGGTCATTCATCTCCATCAGACAGTGGAAAATGTTGAGACTTCTGTCAGGGGATATTTTTTGGGTGTTTATCTCCTTCAAGTTGCTGATGACTTTCTGGATGCTATCTGGATTACTCTCTGTCCGACCTAGCAGGTCTCTTAAAAGTCTCCGGTTGGACGTCAGACAAAGGCCATGAAGAAAGCGGACAAAAAGGTCCAGGTGACCATTTTTACTTTTGAGAGATTTCTCCATAACTTTGCTCAGAAAGTCATCTAAAAATAGCACATGGGTAGTTTTATTTCCAAAATTCCTAGACATCCTAGAAAACTTAGGGATTAGGAAATCCTCCAGGATCTTGCTCTGTCTACTGGTGAAACAGTGGAACATGTAAACGGCAGCCAGAAACTCCTGAATGCTCAGATGAACAAAGCAGTAGACTGGTTTCTGGAAGATCACACACTCTTTTTTGAAAATCTCTGTACAAAGTCCCGAGTACACCGAGGCCTCTGTGACATCCAGACCACAGTGCTTCAAGTCTTCTTGGTAGAACATGATGTTTCCTTTGTCCAGATGTTCAAATGCCAGCCTCCCAAGCTTCAGAAGAGCTTCAGGAGTAGAAGCCTTATGGTACTTCTGAATCTTCCTCTTGGTCTGATCCAGCAGGAAGTGTGAGTACATGTCGGTCATGGTCTTGGGCAGCTCTTCTCTCTGCCCTCCAGTCAACATGTGCTCCAGAACTGTAGCAGTGATCCAACAGAAGACTGGGATTCCACACATGATGTGGAGGCTCCTGGATGACTTGATGTGGAAAATTATTTTGCTGGACAGCTCTTCATAACTGAATCTCTTCTTAAAGTACTCCTCTTTCTGAGCATCAGTGAAACCTCGCACTTCAGTGACACGGTCAACACATTTAGGGGGGATCTGATTGGCTGCTGCTGGTCTGGAAGTTATCCAGATGAGAGCCGTAGGAAGCAGTCTGCCTTCAATGAGGTTTGTCAGCAGATTCGTGACCGTTGACTTCTGTGTGACATCAGACATGACGCTCCTCTTAGTGAAATCCAGTAAAAGTCTGCTTTCATCCAGACCATCAAATATAAACAAAAGTTTACAGACAGCCAGCTTCTCTGCTGTGACCTTCTGTAATGTTGGATGGAAAACCTGGAGCAGCTCCAGGAGACTATACTGCCCATCTCTGATCAGGTTCAGCTCCCTGAATGAAAGCATAATCACCACACTGATGTCTTGGTTTTCCAAACCTTCTGCCCAGTCCAGAGTGAACTTCTGCACTGAGAAGGTTTTTCCAACGCCAGCAACACCGTAGGTCAGAACCACTCTGATCACTTTCTCAGATAAGGCTTTAAAGATGTCATGACACTTAATTGGAATTTCATGGAGGGTCTTCATCTTGGAACCTGTCTCCAGCTGCCTCACTTCATGTTGAGTATTAACGTCTTCACTCTGTCCCTCTGTGATGTAAAGGTTTATGTAGATTCTGTTCAGGGGAGTTCTTCTTCCTGTTTCTTCAGATCCTTCAGTTACAGTTTCACATCTCTTCCTTAGACTGAACTTATGTTCATCTAAAAGCTCCTGCAGACCAGCAACTGCTAGAAGACAAAAAAGAAAGACAGAAATAAAATTAATGAAACTTTAATATTGGTATAGCATATCATCATCTGGAATCTTCCCCTATATCTGATAAAGCATAATCTTACTTTGCACAGTGTTGCTCTGACCACCTATATGTTGTCCAAACCTGGCTGTTTCTCCACAGTGGGAAACAGGATCCTTTGTCTTCTCTCTGTGCATACAAAAGAAAATGTATATTGACCAGTACACATACAATACAATACAACTTTATTTATATAGCACATTTAAAACCAAAGGTACACCAAAGTGCTTCACAACAAGGTTAAAACATAAGATAAAAGACTATAAAAGAGAACAAAGGTGCAGACAGAATAAGAAGTAAAACATTATAGCATGGTTTAGAAGATAAAATTACAGGGTATTCATTAATATAAGGTGAGGGTATTTATTCAGTGGGAGATTAGTAGGAAGTTAAGTAACACAAGGGTAAAATATAGGGGGAAGTGCACTAACTAACTGAAAACGCTCAGTCAAACAACTACGTTACATACATTAAAATAATAGTCTAATGCAAACAAATAATTATAGAAAAATATATATTCTTTGGTGTGTAAACGCTAGGGTTGGGCGATATGTGAAAAAATATGTAAAAAGTTTCCAACCGGCAATCGTCAGTCCAACAATCCCTGATGGGCGATATAGGCGCACATGCACAGACTTTATGATCAGTGGGGCAATCATGCACAGACTAATTTGCAAGTTTACAACACATATTTGGAAAACTACAAATTACTTTACCATGGAAGAAGATATTAAATTAAAAAAAAGAAAGAAAGAAAAAAGAAAAACCGCCTCACTCTGGAGACCGGCCAGTTCAGAATACTTTCTTACTTTGTGTCCGAGGGTCCAGGTTCATTATTAAACGATATAGGGTCAAGTTTGGAAGAGTCACTCCTCATAGACAGACACTCTGATCCTGGAGACGCTGGGCTGCATCTGGGCTGCTGACCCCTGGGAACACAAACATATAATATTTAGCACATTGTTCATCTGCATCTTAATGTTGTTGGAAATAAGTCACTTATTATGAGTACAGGACTGAGGTTCTGGAGGTTTTCGGTAAAAGCAGAGACATTCACTGTCCCAGGGTCTCAGTTTGGATTTTATTACTCAGGAACATATTCTACCTTCTATAGGTACATACTGTCATGGTCGCTGGATCTTGGACACAGGTTTGAATTTTGTGATGTTGGGGGTTTTGTAGTTCTGTAGCTTTGGTTATGTTTAGGTTATGATGTCAGATTTAGTTTGTGCTTTATTCCTTGCTTCTCTGTTTATTCCTGCCTCCTTCGTCTTTCTGTGCTTTACTTGGTCTTCTTTTGTGCTTGGCATCAGGTTAATCTTGTCTCGCTGTTCAGTTGTGGCTCTCTTCCTGTTTTATTTTGGTGACTGTTCTTCTCTGTATCCTGTGTCTAATTTCCTTCCAGGTAATTATGATAGTTTACTGCTGCTGCGTTCCCACCTGTTGCCTTTTCCTTCATCATCCTGCGTGTCTCTGTATCCCCTCATATTTTGTTGTGTTCTCCATCATGAGTGTGGCCTATTTCATAATGTGTTTTTAAAATATCTGACACTTACAAACACAAGAAGTCCTTCATGTTTTCATGTTACAGCTTTTCTGTTCAAATAGGTTTCTGATTTTGAAAATCACTGAAGCTTTTCTGTGTTAGTGTCATCCTAACAAACCATCTTCGTGTCATTTTAGAGGAGAAATAGTCTCTTACTTTGTGTTTGAGACTTCAGGTTCATTACTGAAGTGCATAGGCTCGTCTTTGGAAACGTTAGACAGAGAGTCGAATCCTGAAGTCTCTGTTCCTTTTCTGAAACACAGACATATAATATTTAGCACATTGTTAATTTGTATCTTCATGTTGTTAGAAATAAGTCACTTATTATGAGTACAGGACTCAGGTTCTGGAGGTTTTCAGTAAAAGCAGAAACATTCACTGTCACAGGGTCTGTTTGGATTTTATTTATATCACTACCACAATAAGCTGATCTTACAGATATGGAAGCATGTTTGTTCTGCCTGCTAAGGGAATTTTCTTCAGCTCATTTTACAGCAGAAACATTTTCTTACTTTGTGTTTGAAGGTCCAGGTTCATTACTGAAGAATGGAGGATCATCTTTGGAGATGTTACTGTTCACTGACAGACACTCTGATCCTACAGACGCTGTTCTGCGCCTGGGCTGCTGACCTCTGGGAACACAAACATATAATATGTAACACATCGTTCATGTTGACGGGATCTGTCTTGGTCCCAGGGTCACTGACCCAGGGTTTGGGGTTTTGGGGATGTTTCTTGTCTTCAGCATCTCCTGTGAAAGCCAGTCTCCATGTTTATTTACCTCTCCGTCTCACCAGCTGTGTCCCTTTCCAAAGATCCACATCCTAAATGGTAGTTCTAAACTGGTGAGAATGTAAGAAAATGTAGCTGTATAAGCAGCTAATAAAAGAACTAATTAGTGCAGTTGCAGTTGCTAGTTTGCACTGAACTCTTCTTGTTTCCTTTTTCCAATGTCTTTTTGTAGTTTTTTACTTGATGATAAGGATGGAAGTTTTAAAAAGTGTATTATAAAATATGCGTTTTTCCAACAAGAGTCAGTTTGTCTGTGGCCTACAAGCTTGGTGAACAGTTTATATTGTCCATCTATTACTCAGGCAGTCTTCCCTATACATATTTATCTCTATGAGTACTGCATGCATAAAAATGTAAGAACTCCTTCATGAGTTTCATTTTGCATTATTTCTGTGCAAACAGGTTTTTAATCTTTAACATCCGCAGTGAAATTTTGCTCCGGATGTTCCACATCAAAGGTTTAGGGGGAACACTTCACTAAAATAGATCGCACACATTATTTCTTCATAACAAATAAATCATCTTCACTTCACTTTACAATAGAAACGGTCTCTTACTTTGTGTCTGCAGGTCCAGGTTCACTGTCATTTATGGAAAGGTCTCTCTTCATAGGAAAACAGAGAGATTGTACACTGTCCTCCTCTTCCTCCAAAACATTCATTTTCAGCCAGGCTCACCGGTAACTCAGAAATGCTGAGCATTAGCACAGAATACAAACCACTCTCATGACTGACAAAACAGGAAGTACAACACACACACAGAGAGACTCCAGCAGTGAACTGAGTTGTCAGTCCACTTCCTGAATTAGCACATCATTGTTTTTTCTTCTAGTCCACAGAGACAGCTGACTGAAAGCAGACGAAACATAATGTCGGGCTTAAAGCTCACATTCATTTCTTCCTCCTGCTCCGTAGTTTGCAGTGACCTAGATCAATGGAGAAGAGATGCTCCTCCCTTCTCCATTTACAGGAAATCACATGACGTCATCCTGGGTGTGTGTGTATGTGAGAGAGAGAGAGAGAGAGACATACAAGAATACATAAATATATCATATAATTAGGCTTCTAGATTTATGATTCAAGAACTTTCAGAGCATCAAATCACATCGATCACATTCTCAAAACACACACATACATGGACAATGAAGGTTTATATATAATCTGAGGCCCCCTAATGGTAGACTTCTGGTTTTACCACCAAAATGAATACTTTCATTTCTAACTGGTAAGTCGAGTGGCATAGTGAGTAAGCGAGCAGGTAGCAACTTGATTCTAATCATGTAGAAGTTAATAGTTAAACATTAATGTAGCTCCATCAGTGTGTGTCAGGGAGACCTTTGGTCCAGCTTGGTTGTACGTCTCTTTTCTTACTATCAAAGACAACAGGCCTAAATTTAACAGCCACTTAAACATTGCTATCAGAGTAATCTAAACTGGGTTAACCCTTAAAGGTCTTTACACTTTGGGTTGGTTGTAAATTTTATGAAAAGAAGCTAGCATGGAAGAAATATGATACCACTATGTCACATTTTTTATTAGGTTTTGGGGAAACCTGATTAAAAAGGATTTATAAAAGTCTAGCTCTTGCACATGACATATTTTTTTGTTTAGGTTCAATGCTTTTAGTAAATTCAACATGGATTCAAAAATCACTCAGATGTGCTTTATAATAGTAATAATAGTAATAACTTAGTTTAGCACCTTTTAAAAGACCCAAGAATGCTTTACAGAGGAGCAGAAGGTTTTGGTGAAGACGTGAGTTTGAGAAGTTTTTTGAAGGATTCCAGTGACGGAGCGTTGTGAAGCTGATATGGAAGAGTTGCAGAGGGTGGTGGCCTCCAGCCTGACGACTCTGTTCCCAAAGGTATGGAGGCTGGTGCGCGGGACAGAAAGCAGGCCCGTGGCTGAGGACCGTAGCATCCAAGACTGTGTGTATAGTTGCAGCAGATCAGAGAGATACTGAGGGATCAGGGTATTGAGGGGTTTGTAAGAGGATCTTGTAAGTAATGTATGACTTGACAAGAGGACATTTATGAGGGTGGAGATGATATGTTCTCACAGCTGCCCTTCCCTGGGATGTGGGTACTTGCTGGTTCTGGGGCTTGTGGCTGGATGTTCTGGCGCAGGCATGTAGCTCATCTTTGTTGCCAGGGGTGGGAGGGCTCTGCCGGGTACTGGGCGGTACTTGTGGGCCTGGAGCCCTGGGACCCTGTACTGGGCTTGCACCAGGGAGGTCGGCCGCCCCTCACCTCTGGGACTCTCGCCCTGTGGCCATGGGCGCCCCATCTAGGGCCTCCTTCCTTCTCCTCCTGGGTTGGGCGCGCAGATGTTGCTGAGATGTGTGGCCTTGGGGCTTCGGTACTCTTGGGGGCTGCCTTAAGACATTGTCCTGCTATACCATATATAATGTAATAACTGAAATAAGATGAATAGAAATGAATAAATAAACACATAAAAGAAACACCTGAACAAGAGGAGCCTATAGAGATTTTATAGAGCTGATCTTGGAAAAATATGTTTGCATTCAGGTCGTAATTCTGATTGCAAACGCTGCCAAACAGGACAGGATTATTTTTTTTAGTCTTTAGCTATTTTAATAAGAGCAGTCTCAGTACTGTGGTGAGTTCTAAAGGGTTCAGTGAGCTCATAGAGGTTTATTAAACTTTCACATCGTTCCTTCACATTTTTATGCATCCAACAAATACTTTGCATTCAGAAATATTAATTACTGAAAGACTAAACAGGAACCTAATCCACTGACAGTAATGAAACTGTGCATGCAAGCAGTCTTTAACAATCAAGCAAGTTACTGTGTAAACATTAACTGCAGTTCTCAATTATGCCACAGTGTGGCGCTCTAACACAGAACAATTACAGAAAATCAAAGCCTACTCTAGTTTATACTGATTTGAGTGCCGTCTAAATGACTATAAACCTTGTGTCACCATAAGAAGTAATCAGAGGAGCAGTGCTGGTATGATTTTTTATACTCTATCAGGGTTATAAAACACAGGGATGATGGTATATTCATCAGGATTCACTGACTTACAGTGTATATATCATATTGCTTACACAGATGAATGTTTTATTCTCTAAGACAAAGGCTGCGGCTCAAGTTTAAAAGAAAAGTTTGACATTTAAAAGTGTTAAAGCATAGCAAACCAGAAGAAAAGAAGTAAGCAGGTCCAAACAAGGACCCACCAGTCCATCATCTATAACCAGGACATGACCGAGAAATGAGTGTAACTAACTTCCAGTAAGGGTGGACTCTAATTTAAATACATTTTGAACAGATAAATATTAAGTATACTTTCTAAGACAGTTCATCTTTTGTATAGACACATAGTCTGTCGTAGTTCTAAATATGCCTGCTCATTACAAGCAAGCTCAGGAAAAGAGAACAGAATCCCAGATTAGCAGGAGAAACACTCATATGCACAGTTTAAGCACATATATGTGTTTGCATAATGTCTGTGAATAATTCTTATTGAGTCTGCACTTCTAAGGGCAGTTCACACTGAAACAGTCATTTGTACTTCTTTTGATTCCTCTAGAAGTCACTGCTGGTTGAAGTTTTTCTTCTAACTTCATGGCCGAGTCAGGGCATGCTAATGCACAAATTCCTGCTGCTGTTTAAAACTCTCCAGATCATCAGGGCAGAGCTCGTCATAGCTCAGCAGACAACTGTTACCGACAATTCGTGGGGGCTGTAGAGAGAAGAAATAACAGAGGTCATGAATTAGAGTTTACAAGAGTCAAAAAAAAATATGATTACTGCATTTATTTACTGCATATCAGGCTCTGCGTGTAAAAACGAACAGTGACTAAGTGTAAGGATGATTCTCTGAAATAAGGGAAAGGAGTTTGCAGGCTTCTGTCTGACTGACTTTAAAGAAAAGAGAGAAAAA